AAGGAGGATTTTAAATTCTATTCTGGATTTAACAGGAAGCCAATGAAGAGAAGCCAGGATAGGAGAGATATGATCTCTCTTGTTAATATCTGGCTGAAGCATTTTGAATCAGCTGAAGGCTTTTACATAGGGTTTGTGTAAAGAATTACAATAGTCCAGCCTTGAAGTAAAAAATGTGTAGACTAGTTTCTCAGCATCACCCCAGGGCAGGATATTTCTAATTTTTGCAATATTCCGCAGATGAAAGAAGGGAATTCGAGAAACCTCTTTGATATTAGATTTAGATGAAAGGGACTGATCAATAATAACACCAAGATTTTTTACTATGCTATCTGAGATTAATCCCATCCAAATTAAAAGACTGACTAATAAGCTTATTCTTTCAAAGACTCTGGTCCAAAGACTATAACTTCTGTTTTGTCTGGGTTAGATTCATCTAGATTTATAGACAGATATAGCTGGGTATCATCAGCATATTATCAGCGTAACAATAGAAATTAATCCCATGCTGGCTAATAATTCTACCAATTGGGAGCATAAAGAGAATTGGTCCCAGTACTTGTGGTACTCCACGAGTAACCCTGGATGACAAGGAAGATTTATCATTGACATGAACAAACTGAAGTTGGCCAGATAGATATGATTTAAACCAGTCTTGCTCTGTTCCTTTAATTCCTACAAAACATTAATTTCAGGAATATCAGTGGAAAAACTGTTGTAGTTTTGTTGCAGTGTGTTGTAAGGGGTGTGGTGGCCAAGGGGTTTGGTTATTGCACTTGGATTCCTGAGGTTCTGACTTCGAGCCCCACTCGCACAGTCTGCCACTCTGGGTCCTTGAACAAAGACCCTTAACGCCAAACTGCTCCCTGGACAATGCACAATGGCAGCCCACTGCTCCCCAAGGGGATGGGTTACATGCAGAGTGAATTTTGTTGCTCTGTACTTGTGACATTCTAATGACAATAATAGACATCTCAGTGGTCTATTAGACAAAACAGGTTTACTGAAAACTTAAGGTTTTCTAAACCTGAAATCAGAGAAACTCTGAGCTTGTGGTTTCACAAAGAGAGTTTATTCAACCTCTGTTTCTGTTACCTTGGTAACGTTCTCCCCAGAGCTAATCTGGTCAGGAGCAGGTTGTCTTGAGCAAACTCAGTGTCCTCAGTCTCCACCCTCCTTAGAGCCAATCACACTGTTTTATTTCTTATTTTGTTCGATTTTGTGCGAACAATAAAAAAAAAATTGACTACGTCTGTTAAACATATTAGGTATTTAAAAAAAACATTGCATGTCCTTTTGATGAGGATCTAATTAAATAATGAGCAGTATTAATTCACAGAAAATTAGATATTTATAAGAAGAGGATTCTCAGACTGCATTTAGTTGTCCTTTCATATTCAGAAAGTCATCTTAATAAGCGCTAATGTTTCACCTCACAATCCATCGCATACATCCACGACCTCTTCCATCCTCACATTTGCAGTATTACACAGACTTCTTTAACAGGTATTTAACACAGCTTAATATCAGTGAGAGAATATTGATGTGTATGATAAAAGCATTAGTAAAAAAAAAATCTTCCCAGTAACACAGTACTTGGTATTTACTGTGTAATGTAAGACAGGATCAACATGAAGAGGAACCCCATGAGATGAAGCACAGGTCCAGTTAGAATTTTTTTTACTCCATCTTCACCTACTGACAAGTGATTGCAGCTAAATGTAATACAATGATCCACCACCATATAAAGCAATAAAACAGTTTCCCCTATATGGTTATTGTAATTACAAAATGCCTATTTGATATTTATTCTTTTCTCTGAATTTGATATACATTTTTCCTTTTTCCAAAATGAACATTTCAAATTAAATTACAATCTTTATATCTAATATAAAGAACATGGATGTCTAGAAATGAATTTCACATCCCCATATCCCTATTGTTACTGGTCATAATTTTTATTTTTTTTGTTTAGGAGGAAATTTTAGATAGAAAATAAATATTCAAGCCGATAAATGTCAAAACGGTGACTTAAATGAATAAACGTAGAAGCTCCAATGGCTTTTCATATTTGCTACGCACGCTTGCAACTTTGAGCAGACCTATACAGAGCTGATTAAACTAACTCACAGCAGCTGTAGAGAAACTGAGAAATCCAACAGAATTTCCAACATTGAGCTCGATCAAATCAGAGTGTAGGATTTTAGTCAGAGTTTGTTAAACCTGCTTTGTGAAACAGGCCTCAGGTTTTAATTTCCTATTTGTTGACTCGCACCCCAAACAGATGCTCACTCACTCCACATGTTTGGTGTTAGAGAGCGAATGTTGTTCTTTAGGCAATGCCATTTATTTTCAAGTCCACCCACTGTTCATGTTTTATCCCTCAGGTTGTTTTTTCCTTGCAGTGTGAAGAATAATATTCTAAGATTCATAACAAAGATGACAGCAAATATCACACAGTAGTAATGATCAATTTCTTTTTTTCATATTTAAGCAATAACTTATTTATCTATAAAATATAACATGTTGATTTCAATTCTCCCCATATAAGGATGTATTCATGACATTCAGAAATGATACATTCCAAAGCTTCAGGCTTTGAATGAAAAGCATCTTTCAGTAAATGACAGCTCTGTTGGACATATAGCACAGAGACCCTGTCTGAGTTTTGTTTGATTGAATTGAACTTTTATATTACATTCAGATCCAGAGCTTGGAAAATGATCTACACAAATGAGGAAAATATTGAAAAATTAAACTGCACTAGTTAGTTGAGAAACAAAACAAATATTTCATTTTATCTTTTTAAGAGGCAGGAAACATACACAGAACCCTACATTATTTCCAAACCAGGTAAAAATTAACAAAAGTTATCTGAATCTGAAACTAGAACTTAAAACATATCCGGTAACTGGAAAAACAGAAGAGGTTTTTCAGTTACAATGTATAGAGTACATTTAGTACATTTTTTATTCCACATTCATTTTACTTTTAAATCCATATTTAGACATTTTAAATAAGTACAAATTTACAACAAATCTAAAATAATCTGTATTTATTTCAATAGGAGCTAAATTCAAAACTAGTAAGATCTCCACAAAGTCCTTGCAGCCTTACAGGAATCAATGGAAAGGCATTGCCGTTCTTACAGTAATACTGCACCAGCTTTATGTTTTAGTGGTATTCGGATGAATGACTATTATGATAAATACCATGTTCTTTAGGTAGTAAGGCCTCCCTGCAGTTACTTTAATCTTTAGCGCCTTCCACAAATTAACCAGGAATCTTTCAGGATCACTCAAAATCCAGAGTTTTTCCACCCACAAAAAAAAAATGTCAGTGAAATCATTACCCTGAAACTAAATCTACCAGGGGTATTGAACAAATTCAGGCTCAACCTTGGCATCCAAACTAACCTATATCTAGAGTCAGAGTAATAAACAAGAGCTTGGGAGCTGGAACTATAAACAATCAAGGCCAAAAGAAGTCTGAGGCTCATTGCTTTGTGTCAGTATTGTGTAAAGTTCACTGATAGCAAAGGAGCAATCTGTGTCAGCAGGCTTCCATGACAATAGCTTAAGGCATCTCTACACGTCTTAAAGGGTGCCAATAGCTGTGGAGATAAGATACTGTAAATAAAGCCACAAACTTTTAAAATTAATTTGTGGATATTTATAAAGACCATCAAGGCCTCAAACCGATTGGTCTTGGAAACACACATATTTCTGTTTAAATATTTCTGACATGATAACTTTAACAGGGTGGACACAGAGGTGAAATGTCACATCTATAAGATGAAGGTGAAGGGTCAGTCACTAACATGATGTATTGCGTCAATAACAGATGGGGTAGTTACATTTATCTTGGCTAAATGACGGAACCCTCCAGCTTCTAATCATCATTACTGATGAACAACACAGATTAACTGCAAGAGAACTGGGGCCGCCACGAGTCTGCAAAGTAAGATCTACCCTGAAGATAGAAGTGAGAACATTAAATTGAGTCCTTGCTCTTATGAGAGCAGATCCGTGAAGGTGAAGGCTGATTCACAATTGCAGCCAGCTGTGTGAGCTTCTGCCTGCAAGAAGCTGAAATGGATTATCAGCAGCGGATTTATGAACATTAGATTTATTTTGACAAAACAGTTTCAAGGCACTTTTGAACCAGAATCACAAATGGTTACAAAAAAGGTCTGAATACAGTTTTAAATCATTTCTTTTAATTTTCAAAAATCTAAGTGAAAGATCTACAGTATTAAAATTTACTGAGCCATAACGGTCCCAATGGTTCATTTCAATTAATTTAAACAACAAAATGTATACAGATATTCATGAGATGAAGAGAGAACTTCTTGGTGCATAAAACAGGTCAATTTACATGTAACAACACTGCCCCCTGCAGGACAGAAACTATAAGGCCACATGACTTCAGCAGGCACAACTAACAGGAAAGCATTTCTTTATATCTCACTAAGAAGTAATAACAGGAAAATTAATGACAGCAGGAGAATGTCTTACTTGGATTCATTCACATTTTTAGTTTGAGTTTTTTAGACATCAAATGACATCAGTTGCTTTAAAGCAGGCCAGCTAATGTTAAACAAATTTGACCCTTTCTATGAGGTGCCCTTTTTATCAGGGTCATTGATTATAAACGCTGACGTACATTCACCCATAAAAAATAAAAAATAAACATTTCAGGCTGAAATCGAGCCCTCGATTTGAACAGCAGGTTTCTCAAAATGTTCACAGAATTCAGTTTGGATCTAAGACACAAAGTTGCTTTTATTCATAATCAGAATGTCAACAATTAGCTGTATGCATATCAGTTTCTTCACCAACTCGCTGTGTATTAAAAGAAAAAAGAAAAAGTGATGCAAACAAACTTGGTCCTCTTCTATTCCAGATGTGCAGTAAAAAGGAAGGTGGAATGAATTAAAGAAGCACCAGGCATACATTTATGTTTTAATCTGTTAGTGTCTGATTCTGAGTTTAAGAAGTTAATCCAGGGGAAACAAAAGCAGACAAGTCTGCAGCATATTTTGTCAAAACTGCTGATGAAGAATACTGGGAGATACAAATGTGTTTGGAGTTCTGTTAGATTTATGGCTTTATAAATCCATTTGACATTGGTCAGATGGGCACTGATAAAGCCATGCTTTGTTTGTTTATAACAGAACATCATGCACTGCTCCTGTACACCCTGCTGATAAACCAGTAATTGTTTTAGAGCACTATAAAATACTCATTCAAACTAGTTTACAGATTTTTCTCACTTATGCGACTTCTGACATTAACTAGCAATGGATTAGGTTTCAGGTTAGACTAAATCTCTAATTTTATTATTAGCTTAAGGTAAATCTAATCCGTTACCAATATGGCAGGTTAAATATTAACAGTCTGAACTGAATATTAAATGTTAATCTTATTACTATTTATATTATTAATAAAATTTTCTTAATGTTATCAAGCTCATTCCAGAAGCTACACATCTGTTGCTTTTTTCATCTCAGTCTTACAATAATGGGGGCAGTAAGGAGAATAAAAGAAATTGGCTCATTTGGATACAAGTCATTATATCAACTTGTAGGATGGAGGTAGAGAAAAGGGAAGAGGGAAAGTACCCAAAGGACAATGAAAAACTGTTCAGGTACCCCCTCTACTTCCTTTCTGATGAATTCAGAGGAGTAGGATGATGGTGGAGGGTTTGATTGGCAGTAATGAGCCAACCAGCAGATCAGGAGATGATGCGAATGCCAAAGTACTTTTTCAGCTGCTCCAGGAAGACGAAGGTAAGGACTGTGTGAGGAACCAAGCGGATTCCTGCTGGAACTAGACCCTGCAACAGAGTAAAGGGCTTTCATGGATATGTGCATTTCGATCTTAATATGGAAATAATTATTTATTTTGACCTCAGCACACAGAGCATAGCAATTAGCATGCTGTTCATGCGTGTGAAGATATTACAAAGATTCATTCCACATACTATAGTACTCCACAACTTCCAATTTATTTCAATAATTATATTTATGGAGCTTGGAGAATTTCAGTTATTATATTAAATATAGCCATACAACATCATTTCTTTACAAGTTAGGTGTTCAGAGGACTTTAATCAAATACATTAACAGAAAATTAAATAAAAAGGAGAAAACTGTGTTATGGTTGTGCAGGTATCAGGTGTAATAGCAGCCTTGAGGGATTGGAAAGAAATCCAATCAAAGAGTTTGCTTTATCGTTTTCATGGTCTGCCTGCAAAGTACTGTCCACAACTCGAAAACGAAAAAGCATTCTGAGCGGCGGGAGCAGCGGAGTGACGTCAGCAGCCGCTCTTCCTCAGGTCCTTGCTAACGAGTGTTATGCCCAAAAATGCATGCCTGCCGAGATATGCATCCCCAGTCGCGGGAGCGCGCATCGCTATGTTCAACTGCATATCGACAAGGAAAACTGATTAAAATACGACCAATGGAGCTTGGCTTCTTATATTAATGATATAGAAACGTTTAAATATACCTCTCGTGGGAAATAAATGTGGTTATTTGGCAGATTCATTTACAAAAATACGGATTTTTTAAATAACATTAATTCCAAAGATTTTGACCAAGGTACAGCTGATTTACTTGTTGTGGTATCTTGTTATTTACACACAACAAAAAACTGTGGTAGCCGACGTGAGTTTTGAAATTGCAAAGCTTTCTCTTTAGGGTAAAATCAAATGCGCATCTACACAGCACAGGGTTCACAGACCAGTGTGATATGGCATGTGACG